TCTGGTGTCTCAAGACGAAGTTCCAGCAAAACAGCATTAATTAGGTAGGAAGTCGCCTTCTCTCCCAATCGGTGGCACAATGATATATCATCCATATCATTGTAAAGTTAGTTTTATTTATTGAAAAAAATATAATTCGGGAAGGCTGATGTAAAATTGTAAAGAACTAGAAGCGTTCTGGCATTATGGTTAAGTATTGTCTGCGATATTTTGCTCCGTGTTTAACAATGTTTTCCCACACACATCACAGGAGCGTTAATCAGATCCACTCAAGTTGTAAGTAAGACCCGGGGGCATGGGAATCCTACTTGATTTTGTTTATCTAAACGTAATATACGACTTTACTCCTTAACTATGCAAACAGTTCTTTTATTTGTAGTTGACCAGTTTCACGTAAATAACTGCAGAGTTTAAATCCAAAACTGGGTGATTCAATCTCCGATCCCGAAAAATTTAGTTTCTTAGTTTAAAAGGTCAAAATGAAAAAAATGCTCCCATATATTTTTTTTCATTACTGGTTGATCATAAATCAAACTAGATGTCAAAGCACGCTTCATTCATCATTATCTGTTTGCCATCAAAAGTCAGCATTTTTTTCATTTTCGTGTTGCCTCTTCTAACTTTCAGGCATGTGGGAGTTAAGTCAAAGCATTTTGTAAAAAAACTGGTACCTTTTAAAGTGAGGTCTACCAACTGATCGCCTATTCACTATGGATTACAAAGTGCTTTTCAATTACCAAAAGACAACGAACAAAGTAAAGGAAAAAAACTTGGGGTGGAATGTCATCAAAATGGTCTGGTAAGCTTTAAATAAAAAGGCAAGTGAAATAGAACATTTTTTTGAAGTTTCGTGACCCAAGGAAACGGTAGGTTAATTACAGCTTCGTGCAACTCATAATGTCTGAATATGTTCGCCGAGGGCTCGAGTGTAAAATTAGGTGAATCTTGACCATGGTTTCTGCTCCAATACCCTCAGTCTTAAAAATCAAGAACCAATTTTAGATTATTTTTTCATAAATTTTCAGTAAATTTGGTTATATCACAATTTATTTAACATTTTAAAATACTACTACACCCTGAAAACAGAAAAAAACTAAATGACAGTATAGTTAGAATAACTAGTGGAAAATGGAAGCTCTGGGATAAGTTTGGTGCTTGCGTGAATTAGCGTGTTGTTTGACATCTCTTGTGAAAGACCCAAATTACCCTATCTGAGATTGCATATGTCTTTAACATAGCGCAGTCAGAAGCTTTGTGACATAGTTTAAACCCTGTACGCGTATCATCAAATATTTTAGGATGATCTGGTTTTGACATTAAAAGCAGTTTTCAACTATTTTCGAAAACAAAATCTTCAGTCAACTATGAAGTCCTGTAAAGTTAAGTTATGTACGGCATGTTTTTCATAAAGCCTTGATACCCTCGATGTGCTAGTGTACAGCAAAGGTCTCACATTATGTCACCTGAAAGTCATTTAACTAAAGCGAACTAACGGCGTGTAACGAGCCTACCTTCAACATTATACATCGTCTCAAAGATCACAAATATTGAGTGTTATGGTCCAAGAGAACGTATCAGAGAGTGATCTGAAGCTAATTATTTACTCAGTTATTCATTGTTTTTAAATATGTTTAGAATAGCAGAACAACAGTGCACGAAATTTTTTTGGTGTGCAACTGGGTTGGAGAATAGGATGTAATGTTTAGCAAAGAGGACGGACATGCAGTCGGTGAAGTCAATCACAAACTTGACTGATACAATACAACAACGCGCCTCCGTGAAACCATGCACGCTACCCCAATTAATATCGCCTTTCGAACGAGGTATCCATTAAAGTGGAGTATATGCAGGAAAGTGGGCTTTGCAAACACACTTATGTAGCAAAGAGCACCACATTCTGGTACTGCTAATTGGAATGACAGACTGGATTTCAACTGCAGTTGGTTCATTCCGAAATTCCTTAGGGCAGACTATCTCGAATCATTACAAACACTTCGAAATCAAAATTTGCTGTTTCTTACTCACGGCAGAGCACAGAAATGTCCATCAACACATTTAACCAATACTACGCCATCCCATTGTTGGTATTTTTAAAAAAAAAATCAGTTTAGAGTACAAACTGGCTAATTTGTCCGTGTCTCCCTTCTAACTACATAGTATTTGTGACACGCCTGCTGCACATTTTAAGAGACCGCCAGCAAAATAGACGCGATCTTGCCAAAATAATTGTAGCAAATTTTTCGCTCGTCTTCACAAAACCCTCGCATGCAATGCTGCTGTTTTAAACGACCACATTTTAAGGAATTTGAGAATTATAGAATCTTTTTCTACAGCACCTGATAATCCAAGATACTTACCGAATAGGTCCGTTAATTACAACACACATTCGTCAATTACAAAGTCACCAATGTTATGGCGATTTCGACGTCTCGGGACACCTAGACTTATCCCCAAACCAACCCATGCCCTGTCACTGACCATGATCTAGTTGGAAATGTTCGAAAGAGATGCGGCGATTCTCCTCACAAGGTGGAATTAGAAAGTGAATGAGTCACTGTTGTAGCACATTATCATGGCGTGACCAGTTGTTGCAAGCTGTACTGTTTGTGTTGGTGCTTGCTATTGGCAAATAGGCGATGCTCAGTTCAAAACCGACCTTATCACGATAAAAACGATTCCGCGGGTCCAATTGAACGCCGTGACCACGCATTGAACCTGCACGACTTGGAAGCGAAAATTCCCAATCGGGGTATCCTCCTGCAGCACCGACATCTCTGAAGCGCTCTGCAAATTAGGTGCAAAATATTTCACGAGCAAAAAAATCAGCGGAGGAAACGGAAATTCGTCAGAGCACCCCAACACCCACTGCTGGTGCATTTTGGTTGTCCTGCCACCACTCCCATTTTCGGCTAGCTGTCACGACGGCTAGGGCTCTTTAGGAACAATGTTTTCGTTGCTGATCTTAGATATGAAAACTGCTACTCCCGTAGTCCCATTTCCTGCAGTAAGTCGGGCAATAATCGTGGTGCTCGTTATGGCGTGATTTTATTGAAAAAGCCCTAGTTTTAGATCAGTAATTAAAGTCCTTGCTTTTTTCATTGTGATTGAAGTTTGTGTTGCCCAATTTATAGCAGCAAGAAGACTAAGGTTTTGTGTTAAGCACAGACGACGGACATGCAGTGGATGAAGCACATTACTTCCGGGTGCGATTGTGAGCATGAGCAAACCGGCACACATTGACTATTTGCAGGAAATCACTGTACGCGTTCACTAGAAAGCAGGCAACTTGCTGCCAGATCATTGTCAGCATGATCATCATCCTCCTCCACACTCCGAATAAACAAACTGCAGCATGAATCGCCAGGCGGGCGGAGCAGTCCGGGCCAGGAGACCAGATGCTGCAGAGTGCAGGTCATTACGAGGCACCCGGAGTGCAAGCTCAACGTCTATCAACCTGTGCACGAGTAAAATGTGGTCAGCCATGAAAGGTCGTCCTGATGACGTGAGGCCAAAGGTACCTTAAGGGTAACCCCACAAGCTTGACTTTGTCGTGTTGGCACATTGTCGTGCACTGCCGGGCCACCGCCTCCCACCTCATTCTGTCCACTTCCTGCCTATTGTTTTCTTCGTCGTATCGTTGTTTGGGCAGGTGAAAGCAGTCGTGAGATTTGGTGACAGTGCATTGCGAATCACGACATTGCTTCCATTTCAAGAGATGGACAAAATGACTCATTATTCTGTGTACACTCGCCTCTGGGGTTGTGTATGCTGACTCACCACGATGCCGTCATGGGCGTTTGTTTTCATGTTTGCGGAGAAGCCGCTGGTCAAAGCCATCGACGAGTGTTTTGTGGAGGGGCTCGTTGTGGTGCTTTCGAGCAAGGACTCGCAAGTAGCAACGCTGACTTCGGAATGCATAATCTATAAATGAATTGCCAATTACGTGTCGGGTTGCTTTGTCACTGAAGGAAGTAGACATGAATGTCAGGAAAATCCTTCTGCCCTTTCGTTGTGGATAACTTTGTGTTTCGTGATATGAATCGCGTTTCCCACTAAATCCATGATATCTCCTATGTCTGTGAAAGCGTTTTTCCCCATGTGACATCCGTCTTCGGCCCATCCAACTTGTTTACGCCATGAAGTAAACAGATAAGAAAAAGGCTGGAAGCTAGAGAGAGGCGCAATAGTTTATTGGAAGATTTGGAGGCTTTTAAGCAATAGGATTTGGATGGATTGATTAATGTAAAAGCATAAGAATGGTAAGACGCTTGGTGAATGATTGACGGTATAAATGTGTACTGTTTTGCATACTCAAGCATGTCCTCATCAAAGACGTGGACACCGAGGTTGGGGTGGTGGGGTGACTGAAGATACGACGGTAGAGCTAACGGACGCGAATAATCACGATTCGTCGAGCTCAAGACCTTTGAGCAAGCTCCTTTAATGGAACTATTAAGCACACAAGTTGTTTGTTCGCATTTGCGATATACTGACTCCACTCTAAATGAAAACACGATGTGCAATAATATACGGTAGAGTCATCAGACATTTTCATTTAAAGTTGTTGGTTGGTCAAAACGATTCGTTTTGTACTTTAACCATGTGCAGATTAATTACCTTACACTAATTTTGAAATGTTTAACGCAAAAAAGGATTCAATGGTTTTATTTTAGACATCACTGTAGACGTGAGATTTTACTACCTCGTTATAAAATTGGAACTGAGACTTGTGGTAAAAAAGAACTGTCACCATTCAAACCCACAGGATTTCATTTTTTGTATTTCAACTGAAATCAAGACGCACGGACTTGAATTCATAAATATTCAATTCCATCCCAGCAACTGCCTGTTTTTCTCCAATAGTGTGCCTGGCGCTCAGATCAATCGAAGCCACACAAATATGACTCCATAAGTGACGCATAAGAAAGTACGTTAGTTCAGCAAACTATTTTGTTGCTCCCTAGGTGATAGCCGCAGAGGGTGAGAAACGGTCATCCACAGCCTTGAAAGAGGCCGCAGACGTTTTGATGGACTCCCCTTTGGCACTGCAGCTGCGCTACCTACAGACTCTTAGTGCCATTTCAGCAGAGAAAAATTCGACCATTATTTTCCCATTTCCACTTGGCTTGGTACAGAGTCTCTTAAGGAAAGACTGATTCCCTTGACTGCGAAGTGAACTGGCACAAGCTTTTTACTTAAGAATGTGAAATATCAAAATGCAATAATGCAATAAAAAGTACGTCATTCATACTTTTCGAATGAGTGTAGAACAGTTCAGTGAAAAGGTCATTTGCGGGCAAAATATTTGATTTGTTGTCATTCTGAAATTTATCGAAAAGGTTTCGTGAGGTTTCAGATTATGGTTTTACAAACATGTTTTGGTTAACGTCTTCTTAGTAATTTCCAAGTGACTGCTGCTTCCACAGTAATTTGGGCATGGCGATGCTGCCGAATCAGCAATGCGTGCTCTTACCAACTCCAAACTGCCTAACACCACGACACAATCTGCTCGCAATATCAACGCTGCGTCGGGCTGTGAAGCCACATTCGAACAAACTGCTCACATTGGGTGTGAGAAGTTGCTAGTTGAGAAACGAAGGCTTCAGAAGCACGCCACACAGTGCTTCACCTGCTTTAGTTGAACTATCACCTGTGGAGAATGGACTTGGGGTGTGTGACAACACGGTTACCAACACCATCGCACACACGAAAGCGTTCGAAGCGATTGGATGAGTGGGCTTCTCACGGACCGAATCTTTCCAAACGTATGCAATACTTGCGCTGGTCAGTTTGCTTTGTGTGAGATGAGGTAGACCACGAACGTATTGGAAACACCAGTGGTTTGTAATGACCAGCACTAATTAGAACCAGAGACGAGCATTTCGACTGCGGTAGACGGCCTGCCATGGGTGGTGCTCATTATTTTCGCTCAACAACCGAAGAGGCACTAGTCCGTGCTTCACAGTGTCGTGAATTTGTGCAAACGGACCGAGAGCTGGATGAAGTGGAAGAATTTGATTGGGGGCGCTTCCCGTTACGGCGGTAGTGCAAGACGTCATGTAGTGTGGGTGGCCCTGGCAGGGCTGGATAACGTTGGCTGTGTTAATCTACCGCACCCTCAGCACCCATGCGATTCTCTGTGACCCGCGAAACACCACTCATTGGGGAGGCTGGAACGCCACGTCCCTGAGTAGGTGGCCGTCACCAAAGTAAATGAGGTAGACTGCAATTGACGCGGTACGTGCACTCTAAACACCAGAGGATTGGAGGGACTGAGTGTGCGTTCTTGAAGACGTGGTTGCGATGTGTGCACAAATATGTCACTTATTGATTTGCCGGTAACTTTGTTCGAATAACAAAGTGAACCAGTTTAGTCTGGCAAGGGAACACGCATAAAATTATGGGCTTTTCTCATCTACTTCAGGGTTCCCTGTGATAGGGCTAACGCACTATTTCATGGTGACATGATTGTCTGCAGCGAGCTTCACTACGCGTCGTTCGATTCTACCCTCGTGTCAGTAGATAATCTGGTAAGCTAAAATGGCGGTGTATTACAATCTCCAATATGCCTCAACGACTGAGCATATCTTGGTTGTGAAAATGGATCACGGAAATATCACCATTTTGATCAGAACAATCCATCAGCTCTCTAGCGTATTTCGCAACCAGCAATGCTGTGGTTACTCACTTAACTGAAATGGGCGCATAGAGGTGACCTTAGACGAACTAGTCTGTCACGCAGCACCTTGTGCCTTATTGATGAAGCCGGGATGCATGAAGTGTTTAGGGTGTGGGTCGTGTTGTTTCTGGTGTCTCAAGACGAAGTTCCAGCAAAACAGCATTAATTAGGTAGGAAGTCGCCTTCTCTCCCAATCGGTGGCACAACAAATGAATTTATTGATTTTGAATTTTCTACTAAGTAACAAAAGCCTGATAAATGTGTCTTGCATTTTGCATGATTGCTTCAAGGTAACCGACTGTCATAAAGGCACAAAATTTTTTCGTTAAATTCATGGAAACAGGATGCAGATGACCTTAATAGTAGAAAAGGCATTGAGCTCTAAATCTATCTGGTAGTGTCGAATGTGTGTTCTTGAAGAGTCTGCCCCACAAACGCCACACTTAAGCACCTGTATATTATTAGACAATTAGAATATTTGTGCAGTTTCAGAAAGTTATCTTCTTCAACATACAAGTGTCGATTTGATGGATTCAGTTAGGCGTTTCTCAGATCAGCGTAACCAAGTTGTGATGAGCACGTTTCAACGGAGAAATTCGGGTCAGGTCAGGAAGATAATTCGCACACCGGCATTAATAATCATACGCATGAAGAAATGGCACGTGCCTTATTTGGGACGGGATGGGTAGAGCAGCATTTAAATTTATAAACCAAAGGAATTTGTGGAACGCTATTTCCTCACCGAATGGTTGCAAAGCAGCCCGTTTAATTGAATAATTGGGGCTTTGTCAAAACCCCTGGGAACATTGGCGGAAAACACCACGTCGAATTCAGTGTCATCTCAGATATTAAACTGTTTTATCTTGTTGCCAGATTTGTGTAAGCGATCTCTTCTAGAGATTAATATTTTAAATTATTTTTTTGTGCACTAAGCATGTTATATACAACAGCCAAGCTTAGCATTCAGCCTGTTAAGCAATTGTTACCTTTGCGTTTTGTTGTTATCTCATAGTTTAACTGATTTAATCATCTGTACAGTACTTACATGTTTATTATAAAAAGCACACCAATTAGGTGCATAGCTAACTGAAATTTGAGTCACATTGCTGCTGCCAGATAACCTAGAACGTGTTGGACAAGTCATTTTGCTTACTAAAAGTGTTGAAAGTCCCGATGTAGGTCTAACACCCACTCCGAAGCTACCGAACTGGCAGCGTTGTTCCGGCTCGATCCGACACCAAGTACCCAGAAGAGAGTGTGAAGGCGAAGAGCAATGGAGGCTTGATCGTTTACTGGACCGTTGAATCTGGGTGTCCTCAAACCTGAGTATAGTGCGGTCCTGCCGATCCGACACCAGGTACCCAAAGCCGACAGAGACTCAAACACAAAATCTGGATTTTCTCATCCCTGGCTGTCTACGCGTATTTACAGGTCGTCTGAGTAAATGACCCGTAAAAATGGTGTGTTAAGATCGGGATTATGGGAATTGACTACGTGTAATGAAAAAGTGGAGTTTAGCGGGGTGGACAGAGTGTAAGGGAAAAGTCGTTCAACAAGGAGTCTGTGGAGATGAGTCAACTTGGGAATCGATCATGCTTGAATCGCAGTGACGGCTGCGAATTCTTAAGATTCACCACAAGGTACTGAAACTTGTTATTTGCTTCTTGCTGTTGCATCAGTTTTTTTCACATATGATGCTGGTCAAAATTAATTCTACGAGGAGATTTCTTCAGAGGTACCCCAGTGGTAGCGCGGTTCTACTCAATTAATCATTACTGACCAAAACTTTCTTTCTGCTTCTGCAGTTCTAACTCTTGAGGCAATGCAGCCTCCTGTGTTATAAGTCAAAGCACCCGTGCATGTTTACAATCACATGACTGTGATGCTTTGTGTGTGGGTAGGCCGTCAAATTAGTCGAAGAAAAACATAATGACAATAGGTCTGGTCTTGTCGCTAATGAAATCAAATTTATTGTTTCATTTCCTGCAATATCCATATGACTTAATCCAGATTTTATGAAGAAAGATAAGCGCTTCACAGACAAGAGTCTAGAGTCCCATTAGAAAGAATTAATGGGAACTAGATTCAGAAGAGACAAATTGTTATTTTGGTAGAACAATTTTAGGCCAGCAAATTGGGCTGCAACGCCTTGGAGATTATCAGATCAGCTAAAGAAGTCAAGTTTTACCACAGTACTTTTTAAGTTTTGCCATCTTTTTCAGGGTAATAAGACCAAAAACGAAAAAAATGTGTTGTTATCACTTTTACATTTGATGGACTCCGATTTTAGTTTCATACCTTTTAAAAATACATCAGTGACTATATTCCCTTTCCTTTACTGCATTTAAAGAAAAATAATTAGACACGAATTTTTGAACATGCTGTTGAGATCCCAAATACTGTATGGTCCATAGTTAAAGGACAAGCCGCTAAGCTTCTTACCCCCAAAAAGGCCAAGTTTGTCATAAATCGTGTTGATTTGCGCCTGTTTCAATTCAGTCACTCCATTCCTCGACCCAGTGCCACCTTTCACGGAATGCCGTCAGCCATTGGGGAACCTCACCCTGCGGTGGATTCGTGCGGACATTTATTCCGGATTATCACTACGTGTGATTACATTCACCTAAGTTTCCATATCAGCATACCTATGACTCACGCTGTTTCACACATCAGAACCACAAGTATACTCGCGCAAACGCCTCACACGACACAGCGACAGCAACGTGGTTGGGTCCACATCCTCTCCGGTCTTCCTCATCTTCACGGGTACCCGTGTAGGGTAATCAGGCCAGATTCGCATCAGTGGCCCCGGCGTAAATGAGTCTACATGCCGAGGCTTACAACAATGTACTTGTTTTATTAAAAATGTGGGTGTCCTGTAGGTAATTTTAAATTATGAATTTCAAATTTTAGTGGCTTTGATTCTCAATTTTAAGAAGGGGAATCACTTGTAAAATGTGGCGGTGGGTCCTACAATCTCATCAATTCTGATGTCATGCACTACAACAAAATCTGGGTTATGGAGATCCGGAAAAAAGTTGCAAATTTCAAATTGCAAATTTGAACTACTTACATGTAATAGTAGATGTACAATCAAGCAGATAATTACTAAATCATTTGGAACTAACTTAATATATTTCCAATTGTACCTAAGCTTTGTAATCGAGACAGTGTAGTTTTAAGTGGAAGTGTTATATTTGCTAACGACCTTTCGATGTCGACAGTTGCAATTGCATGTTATGCGAAATTAAAATAGTTCCAAAAAGGACGAAGTTGCTATGATGGCAGATAAATATTCAAAGGCAAAAACGCACAAGAGTTGTCCATTTGTGAGAAAATAAAGCCTTATGTTCTACGCTAAGGTTTAGAAAGAAGTAATTTGGGCTTGTCCTCTTGAATACAACCAAAACATAAAAATTGTCATAATTTTTTTTAAAAATGAATATCAGCTAATTATATGCCCTCTTCCTATGATTCCACAATCATTAACCGCCGACCAGCTAAACTGCATTGTTGAATTTGTAATGACCAACAAGTCTGCAGAGCATTAGAAATTCAAAGACATATGCTAGTTGCCTGCATGCTAATAACGGATTTGTAGTGTCGAAAAGCTGAATCCGCCGAAAAAAAACAATTCCACTTGATTTAAGTGTTATTAATATGTTTCACGTTTTCGCTTGCGTAAATTGTTTAAAATCTTAAAATTAAATCTAATAGATGATTGCAAATCACAACATACATCCTATTCACTTTGCCGCGCAAAGAAATATCGTGGTAAAAATAGTTCCTCTAGCGTTTTGTGATAGTTTAGAAATGCCTCCACAGAATAATTCCCCTTCATATCATGGACTTGTTGCATTAACAGAGTGTATAGGTCATTGCCTCAAAAGCAGATACATTATGTAGAGTAAAAAATAGCATTTCAAATCACCTTCCTGATCTAAAAATACACAAGGAATATTGAGCTGCGATTGTATGCTTCCTTTTTGTCCAATTGCGCATAAATCACCACGCAAGATCATTTTGAAGGCATTAGACGTCATAAACTGAATGCGAACGTATTTAGCGACAGTGATTTAAACCAGAATGAGAGATTAGCTTTACCTCCTATGCCACCTAAGGCGAAAAGCATTACATATGAAAACATTGCATTTTCCATATTTGAACCCGAGGATAAATGCAGTGTCATATCTGAAATGGCAGGCAAGTCTTTCGACAAAGAAATGCGCTATACTAGGATTATTAAATCTCTAAATATTTCAAAAGTTATACTATCAACTAATACCCATCGAGGGTTTTGCAAACCGAACCTTCCATTAGAGTTATATGAGAAAATCCTTCAGATTTAATTTTATGGTACTCGTCATAAGAGTAGCTGGCAACTGTTTACTTGGCATATTTAGCCCCACGAACATTCACATCAGGGATTTTGCATCCCAAAGTTAATAAATGTGGCGCATGCAATGAAAACTGATGTCCCCATTTTCGGACAACATTGATCCACTTTGTCAGTTATCCAATCGGGAATTGCGCACATGCGTAAAAACACAATATGCAATCTGCACAGACACTTGAAGGAGTGGCAGTCAATAATCGTATACAATCTGTCATTTGTTATGGAAAATAATGGTTTATTTAATTTTAATTAGATTGTCAGACATCATTCGTAAGTTTATGTGCTTGTTTGACCTTATTAGCCACTGATTGTGTTAATTTAAAATATTTGATTTCCTTCTTTAAATGAGGGCGTATTTTTCACGTTGTAACTTATTACCTATATCAAGTTATTTACTTGTTTTAGTTGTCTGTATTGTCGTGAGCACATTTTAGATGCGTCTGGTCATTGGTCTGGTTTTCGATTGTTTAAGCGGTCATCAATGTCCCGCCACCAGTGCTCGGAGTTCAAGAATCTTTTAAACAAAATTAAAGTAGTGGCCGGCAATGAGTGACTTTTGCAGAACTATTCTAACCGCATTTATAGTCCTTAAACTTGTACATTGTCTGTGGAACATACATACTGTTGTTTTGACTTTATGTTTTCTTTCGCTATTTATATTTGCTGTCTTGTTCCTCCCAGGTACATTTACAGTGTTTTATCCTCACATGATGTTGCTTTGTACTTTCTACTTGCCTGCTATTTCGTATATAATACACTGGTTTCTCCGGTGTCCTTAATGACTGCGTTCTAACTCCTTGTATGACCCAAACCTGTCTACCCGCATTTGTTTCTCATCACACGAAGTCGCTTTCGTTTTAATTTAAGTCCAGATCGATGTCGCTATTTATTGCTACCGGTCAAGTATAATAATTGTTAACATCTGCTCGTAATTAATGAAATAACTCTGCTATTTTAAGTGGGAGTATGGCTTTTTTACTTGTATTGTCACAAGTTCACAATTTACGTTGAATGTAACGCATAATAATTAGCCTTTGAGATTTATTTAGATTCGTATCCAAGTCAGGATTATATCGTTAATCTACAGTTTGTAAGATCTGTGTTCTGATGCTATCTTGGGGTGCGTACTCTTAGTATCAGACTGGGCTCACAATTCGTGTTCATGTTGTCCAGTTAGATTTGAACCATGTAGTGCTTTTCAAAATTTTTCATGATTTTTAACTGCACAGCCAGCTATTTTCTCAATAATCATGTCTGTCAGCCACGAACACATGCGTAACCACAGAACCCTATCCATAATGTCGTTTTGCACGGCCAGCTGTCATTCGGTATTCAGTTGTTTATTCCAGTCTTTTACACTTATTTTTCTTCCAACTGATTCGTTTATGACAACCCAATTTCCTGACCAATTTAAAGTGCATACTGCTTGATCATGTAAGTTTTTCATTGGAGATAAATTCACATTCACGGACCTGTAAGGAATTAATGTTTAGAGTTAGTACACTTCTGTTGATTCCTATTAGGCTTGAAGTCTGAAGGCATCGATGAAAGCTCTTGTTGCGTCTGTTGCTCCATCCAAAATAGGTCTTGACGCATTTCGCTTTTAAGAAATCTTAACAACGCGACATCAGTTTTTGCCTTTCATAGATTCTTTCCGGTAACCAGATTATCGTTATCATCTCCTCTACTTCTTTCGACCATTAAGTTGGTAAGACTTAGAATGTTAAGCAGAGATTCGCTTGTTTAGGCCGTCGAGGGAATTTCATTGACCAAAAATGGAAATCGGAAGAGGTACTTGAGGTAGTGGTGGTAGGGAGGCAGTAATGTGCAAAGAAAAGCTTCCTTCAACTTGTGTATGCTTTTATGTGCGCGTTTTTTTAGCAGTTTGGGGTTATGTGTTTTGGGATGATGTAAATAGTGTAAGAAAATATGGGGAGAGGACCAGGTGATTTTGATCAGCAGTCGATGCTTCAGTTTAAGGTATTAAATGCGTTCTCCTTCATTCCTTGTTTTATGTGAAGGCAGACGACGGTTTTGACTTGTCGAATGAAACCGAAAAATTTTGTGTGCATTTGAAAAGTAATGCGACTATTTGCACTACTCTAAATTGCTGGGGAAGGAAAATTAATCAATCAACTAACCATTCAGGAGCACACCCTGATCACATGAACTACAGTCCGTTCTGCGACTTCTCAAAGCTACTTCCTTGGGTTTCACAACCAATGTGTCTGCGTTCTGATTCAGTAAATATTCAACATGGATGTACCCCCCTTTCAGAAGAACACAATTTGCACTAATGTAGTCAACTATCTCCCCTGCGGCACGTTTGAAAAGTTCCGTTGTCGTTAATCATACTCGGTTGTTAATTGGCCTGTAGTTAATCCTGATGACTTACGTCAGTCTAGAACCTTTGCTAATTCACCCTTCCCAATAATCTGCCAGGCTGTTTTCCGTTGATTCCAGTCTCGTGGGCTCGTGTGCTATTTTAGTCTAAACTCATGAGTCAACAGAGATAGTCAAAGGGCGTCGCTTTCTGTCTTTTGGCTACTTAGCTATTGTTTTCCAAACAAATTATGGTCGTGCGTTTGATCTTCCAGTTCCCCTGGTGGCTCCTCATGCCTATGGCGCTGGTCCTTATTGTTGCCCTTCTACCTTTATAAGCACGCATGTCGGGCTATGCAAGCCACTGGTGGCCAGTTTCTTGTTTCCACGATGCAGTGCCAGTAGCGAGACCGTGTATGGTACTCAAAATAAACTTTCATCTACCACTTCTAGTAATGTTCAGGCTTTTGGCACTGCCTGCCTCCGTTCTATTTGAATCCTGAAAATGTCTTTACTGCTGATTTTAGTCTTGGAAAGTGTTGCTTTGTCTTACAAAGGCAGTCATATTTACTAACCAGCCTTGTTTCCGAGACGGCATCTCTGTTTGAAGGAATAAATATGGGTGTTTAAGTGTTCCCTTAAACAGATCAGACATCCCCACTATTAAACCACGAGTATAGGCGTCCATAGAGCCGAATAAAGCATGATGTCAGGGTCTGATATCATTCTGGTAAAAAAAGGACTATTTCAAATGGAAACTATTGGTTTTTTGCTTGCATGACAACAGCTTCCTCATTAAATTTACCAAGAGGGCAGGTTTTTTCAAGTTACTAACTGCTTCTTCTTCGTTGTAGGTCGAATACAGTAATGGTAAAACGTCAACCACGCTTCCTCATGTTTGATTCTGTAGGATTTTAAGTTTGGCTTTTTCGAAAGCCCTGGGGGCCATTGTGTAGAAGAAAATGCCGAAAATAAACCAGCGCCATTGTCGGAGATACCAGCAGCTTTCCAGGCCAAGAAACTTTCTATTTCTGATAGTAGATTTTTCCGTCCATTAATTTTCCGTTCTCTTTAGTTTGGACCAAAACGATGGCTCTGCCAACTCGTAATCTCACCCTTTCAGGTGGTGAAGGTGAGTCCATGTTTGGCATTTTGGCTTAGCTAAATCTAAAAGGTAATGCTCTTAATTTATGGTATTTTCTATAAAATGCGGCTTCGTTTTTGGACGCGATCGACCAGGTGGAAATAAGTTTAAAACTTAAAAAAAGAGCGTCTGCGGAGTCTGATGGAATCGGGCATTCTTATCCGTAAAATGCACGTCGCTTTGTTGCACATAAGCTTTCCACTATCATTTGAAAAGGGAACAGAGTACTTGGGAAGGCCCAATTTAGTCTAACCGAGTTTACATTTCCTTTTTACGAGAGGTTTTAGCCGAGATGGTGCAAAAATGCACCTCTTTTAAGCGTTTGTTCGGTGACGGAGTTGTAAAGTACCATGGGTAGTGAGTTGATTGGCTGTAGACTACGCAATTGGTTCAAGCGACCCATGCGCACCTTCTTGACCAATCTTTACACACATTAGTAGGTGCACTTTTGTAAACATTGGACTTGTGTACTATTTGGCTCCAGATAACCACATGCTGGAGGGTAACGGCAAAGTTTTCTTTCTCGAGCTTATGTTTCCTGGCTTATTGCTTCCTACATTTCACCGAAATTTGGTACGAACTCATGCTCTTACTTTCGCACTGTTTCGTTTTTAAGTAATAACAATTTACAATGAGCAGGCGGTAGAAGAGTGTATCAAGACGACAGCTGGAAGAGATCGGTCGGCGATTGTCGATGACGCCGTTTTGGTGGCTCTGTCTTCGGAAAATGACGTCGTTGCTGGTGTGATCGAGGGCGGTTTTACTATATGGGAAGGCACATGGCACCTCCTCGAGCATTTAAAGCAAGAGTCCGTTGATTTTGCTGGAAAATCGGTTCTTGACCTTGGTTGCGGAGGCGGTCTTTTGGGCCTCTTCGCTCTTTTGCACGGTGCCAGTTCTGTTACATTCCAGGTAAGTTAATTGCACAAGTCTACTAAAATTAGCATTTTGGGTAAAACTTGTGACACCGAGGCACGGCACGAAGCATCTGTATGAAGAGGAGCCTCAACCATGTGTTGGACTGCCTCTAACACTTATTCTGATCGTATTGGCTTGTGCACACTCACTTGTCGTGTGAACAGCAGGAGGTCAATGGCGTGTAAACATTGGGGGTCAGCGGTGATCGAGGGAATGAACGATTAGAGGGCTAAATAAACACTGAACCGGGACCGTGGCGATAGGCGTGTCTTGACGTGATTCACCACATCTGTCCCCTTCTGTCGATGTCTACCTTTGGTTTAAGCGGTTGACCTGCACACTGTGCCTGATAAACACGTATGTGCGGAAGTTCAGTGTCTGCGTGCTGAAATTCGCTGTTAAGGAACACGGTTAAGTGAATTTTAGTTCGCGTGTTGTCTCCTGTAAGTGATCGACGTGGCTTCGTGTGTCTGGCCAAGACGGTTGGGGCGCAGTAGTGTGTGACTGACCTGATAGACCTTGCCTCGTTCTGAAAACTGTTTTAGCCGCCAGATTGCCTAAACTTTCTGTTATGACCGGCATAATTCCGTGTATGACGACGGGTTAGTCTGTCTTCTGACGAACTGGATCACTGCGAGTTAACTGCGGAGGCGTTCTACCATTTCACTTCATCGGAAATGTCCCCAGAAGTAGGACGAAATTCTGTAACAAATTTTTCACGGAAGATTTTCCTCCAAGTAAAGCATAACCCATCAGTCAATAAGAATTCTTGCTAATGTTTCTGCAGAGATAGCGCCCAACCACTGAGAAGTGTTCTTTCGAGTGCAGCAAGTTTTCCACGGTATTGGTGTGCACGTTATCAAACCTTGTGTCAAGGACATCAATTTGCTGTGCCTGTTAACCTAAGGAGTTTGGCAGCTTATGCAATTTTGTGCCCACTGATGAACGTGTCGATTAATGGCGGACTACACACCATTTTGATGTCAGCATTCGTGGTGAGCCAGACCATGAAGTACTTGGAGGTGCGTGAATTAAGGAATGAAGGGGGATCGGTGGATGCAAGAAACGGGACACCTAGAAACTTCAATGCTGTCTTGTTTGTGGAATTCGGATTTGCCATGCAAACTAGATTGAAAGTCGTATCGATTTTGTATAGGACAGTGATGAAGTGTAGTAAATTTCTTTTAAAATTCGATGAACACCACGTGGTTATTTTTGGAAATCACTTTGGGGGTAAATGGCTTATCACTGTTTGATCGGCAAACTATCAGAAAATGTAGTTTGTGTTCGATTTCCCGCTTGCGCGTGGTGCATCTTGCTGGGGATAGTCGATGTGATCCGGCCTCGGCGGGGCGACTATCACTGTGACCGATTATCGCCGGCGGGTTGGGTCAACCAGCCTCGTGGTCATGCTTTCACAATGGCCGTCCGTCGCAAATAACATTTGACACCAAAGTTGTTTGACATATTGCTTAGGGTAGGTAGGGAGACAATAATTGTTAAGACAGTAGATGCCCGCGATTTAGGGGTCACAGCCTCGATAGTGAAAACTCAACTAACCTGACGCTTTAGTATAATGCTGAAAGCTAGGGACTTATATCCCAAGTTAGGAGTTTGCTTATGAGAAAACTCAGAATAGGCTGGGTGGGTTAGTGTGGAATAACCGATATATGGGCACCTGAATCGACGAGGGCTTACCTGACGGCCGACGCCACGAATGAAATGGTGACGCATGCGCTCATCGACAATGGTAGTCTTCACTGTCGGGCGTCCTCGCGTTCCAACAGGCTTGCCTTAGGATGGAATCACATAAGGACACGAGGTCTTCACTATTCTCGGGGCATTTAGTGTTTCTTGTCGCAACATGTCGAGGAATAGCGCATTGTCCACGACTCTGTATTTTTGTTTCTCTCAAAACCAGGAATACAATGAGGTTATTCTTAAGGCATGGGTGATTCCCAACGTGACCCTGCTTCAGAAAGAGTTTTCGGATCGGACTTCTTTCATCTCTGGTGATTGGGAAGATCTTGCCAAATTCTGGATGGCAAACGAAACAACATTTGACATAGTTCTCAGCGCGGAGACCATCTACCGACCTGAGTTGTACTCCAAGTTACACACAGTGTTGGAGGCCATTTGCGCCCCCTCTGATGGCGGCAGCATCGTCTACTTGGTGAGCAAGTTGAAATACTACGGCCCCGGTGGAGACGCGTGCGATTTTGGCGCCTTTCTAGACCGTAACGGAGTATTTAGTTACAAACTCATCCAACTAACCACTAAGGGAACTTCCTTTGTGTGCTTCGAAATAAAGAGAAAATCTTGAAGTCACACTTTGGTAAACGGGTTACGCAGACACATAACTTGTTGGATAGGAAGAAGAGTAGAATACGTCAAGTCCCGACACGCGTTAACTAGACGGTGGATTGCGTGGGATTTAAACCAATTTGAAGATTCCCACCTCGTGAACTGTTGCGTTTCGAATCTCTGAAAAACTGCAGTACATAGCTACTCGCATACTTACACTGCACATTCGTGTGGAAATTTTAAGAAGCCTAATTTGTGGTCACTGACGTCACAGAACCAGATTGGACTTCCGTTGGGCATATATAAGGTTTATGCCAATAGTCAACTTACTGGATGTTCGTACTTTGCAATTAATTAGTACCAGATCTTTGACCTAAGATAAAGGATGTTGTTACGTTCAAACATGTGCCCCTAGAAGTACGTCGGCGTTAATAAGAAAAAAAGTATTATAAGCTTATAGCCACGGGCGTTAGTCGTTTTCAACATTGCCCTAAGTTTAGGACTAAAAATATGGTGCCCACTCCTCAGTGGTCTCGCGAAACGTTTCACAGTGTGCACTAGCCGTGGTTTTGGTGTGGTTAAGAGCCTTGGAGACCCATTGCATGCAAATCACAAAACAGGAACATACAAAAATATATTGCAAAGCGATAAAGTTGCTAAAAAGAACTGGACTGGAGCCTCGGATAACTAGGATGGCGATGGTAACACAATTAAACAAAACTGGCAAGTGAGAGCTCTCGGTCTTCATCTGTTTCAATACCAATATCCTCCTACAACGGACGTACAACAGTTATTTGGCATTTGGTTCATGGCAGGCCCGTGACTCTGTGTCACGGTCAACAAACGTACCATAAGCTGCTTGCGACTTTTGGGATATCCCTCGGCAATGGCATCAACAATATCCATAGCCTAAATAGCATACACGTGATTCTAGGACGATATTACGAATTAGACGGTAAGATCTGCAACCAACATACCAGTCGTTTCCTCTTCCGCCATTCGGAGACAGCTGCCTTCTGCTTTTCGTGGGCCTGAGTGTAAATTAAAAATTTACAACTGTCGGCTAAATAAAAACTGGGGATTTCGGGAGAGAATCAAATCGAAAAGGAAACCTTTTGTTTACTGAACTCATACGCCCACTGCTAACTGCCCAAGAATTTCACCTCATTGAATTTTTTTAATCATAACAAAGGGGCAATGAAATTAAGAGAACTGTTGAACTGGCATTTGGAGCCATAAGACAAATAATATCGTTAGTTGTCTGCAGCTAATCTTTTTTCAGATGCATTTTCAAAGCCTACACAGAGCAGCCTCCACAAAACAGCGTTCTAATACTTGACAAGAACAATAATCTTAACTTTACCTTTGTAAATTCTTCAGGAGTAATTTTGACTCCTGAGCCGTAGGCGGCAATCGACTTCCTAATTTCTTCTATCTAAACCGAAAAGCCGATGCTGTAGTCCGAATAAAACTTTAAAGCCCTCTAAGCAGGCAGCATTTCCGTACCTTGGATTCCACTATGGCGTTACGCTCTATTGCCTCTTCAAGGGATAGACTTGACTGAACCACCTTCAAATCTGGAAATTATGAATACTTAGATAACTGGTCACTAAGAGTCAGCAAGCCCGAGCAGAGACGATAGGTCCTCTAACGTAATAAAGTGTCATGATACAATAAGTTTACGGCCGTAAAACTACCTGACTCCGCCGTTCTAACCTGTTCCTTGAGCTTCTGCAGATCGTTAGAAAGGTTGATGATCTCATTATCCAGATCCTTTAGTTCGTCACTGTCAGGTTGGGGAAGTTTGTCCTACAAGGAGGGGCGTTAACCTAAGTGAATCCACGAAGTTTGACTTGGATCAAACATAAAGCACGGACCTGTGGTACAACGAATACCCTCTGCTTTCCATTAACTTTCTCAACTAGCGAATTCTCAAGTACCAACTCGTCGACAGCTTTTGAGACGGCCTTTTGATTAAAATGAATAAAGACAAACAGGAAAACTAACCGCCTTCCCATGTGACTTTTGCAACGCGGCGACTATGTCATTTAGACCGAAAGGGCGATTCTCGCGAGTCATGTAATTTAGTACAACAGCTGTTCAAAGTCATACTAACTTGGGGGAATTGCCTTACCTTTAGCGTCCTTTGACATTGAGCGTATTCTAAAACGAGGCATGCGTTTCTTGTTACTGATTGCGTACTTACTAAATCTAGTCTTTATGAAACCGCTTCGAAATACACAGGAACCCCAATCATGGCGACTAGGTCAGAATGTTTTAGCAAGGCAAGGCGCATTAATCACATATTAAGTACCATTAAACGGTATGAATTTAACATGTACTCTTAAAGCGCGACTAAATAAAAACTGCATAAGCCAACTCAGGCACATGACCACTAAATTGTTAAAAGGCAAAGTAAATTGACGAATCCTAGACTAGTGACCCAACGGAAACGGTGTACAGGAACAGCAAAAAAGTTACTTGTGGAACAGGAGAATTCCTTAGTATCACCGATTTTAAAATCATAACCAGGGGAGTGAGCTTGCAACTTTGTATTCACAAAATTGCCGATGTATTTTACTCAGAATGGGGATTGGGGAAGGGTGTCGGATATGCCGAAGCTGCATTTTACTCAACTGTATTTTCCACCATTTTTTAAACGTATGAAACATGATCTCTGCTGTGAATTTAAAAATTTCACTTCTATCGGAACGAAGACAAAATAGTTTGACGACAAGAACGCTGATGCACAACCAGAGTAATTCAGGGAGAATTAAATCAGTTAAGGAGTATCCTAAGTCAAAAAGAGCGAGACATCATAGTGGCTAGGGCCATGAAACCGTACTTGCATAATACTACATTTATGGTTGTTATGGGTTTTAAATTTTGCCCACACTGTCATTTCAAGCAGAATGAGGTATTAGACATACAAAACGTTTTCTTAATACAGACACCTATAATGTACAAAAACGCACCGGAATACTCCCCAAAAGCCGGCCAAATTTATTCGCTGACGTCGGAGCAGCCGTTTTAGACATCAAATAATTTAAACAAATCCATTCTAGGTGCAATCAGATATGAATCAGGTATTGAAAGCTAATTTCGATTGCACTTTTGATGAAATTTTTTTATTTTAGTTGCGACAGCTGTTTTTCTCTATATTTTGGTTAAAGCCAATGTTGATAACTATGTTGGAACATTTACTGCTGATTGGTTGACTCGGGCGTCAGCAGCGTGATTTGCTGACTTGTGTGCACTCAAGCAATGTCCCTCCCACCGGGCGGTTTCTCGTGGGTGTCGGACTCTGTAGCGGGGTTTGCATTTCCTTATACAAAAGAAAATCTCAGTTACCTTGTCAATGATGCGCATATTTCTCACTTGATCACACTGAATGACGAGAAGCCGGGAGACCTTAGTTCTTTTCCGTGTAATACCTCTAATCATTTAACTTTTACTAGGCAAAATCTGTGATTTTGTTTACTTTATCAATTCTCTTGTAATCATTTTTTGGTGCTTGAGTCTCTCAGTCTCATAATTAGGACTTTTAGTCTGGTTGTAATATCTAGTATCAATATTACCTGAGTTTGCATCATTTTAACAGCGAGAATTTATGATTTGCCTATTACTCTGCTCCGTTTCACTATTTCTTTATATTTGTGTTGTTTTTGATCGACTAGCTCTCAAACATCACTTCTATCCCGTTGACGAATTTACCATTGGTGACCTCGAAATGGTTCGTGAAATCGTCAATATAATCGCTGCTGCCGAAACGAACGGCGAGGTACGTTTTACCACCCATCCTCTTTAGTGGGTGGATTTGTTGTTTGTGTCGTTACCAGCATCGTAATATATATTTGGTGAAATTTCTTTCCTATGTATCGTTTCATCTTTATTTCAGAAGTGCGGCGTTCACTGTCAGTTTGGTCAAATGCGGACTGGCACCATTTTAGCCGCTTACCTTGCCTACCATAATAAAGTTAACGGCAAAGAAGCGATCAAGCTGCTTAGCAAAATGCGCCCGAAATCATTATTTTCACCTGAAAGTGAGAAGGTGATTTGTGCTTTCGCCGCTTCTTTGAACAACTAGTAAGAGATGAACTCGTATTTTTTGGTCAGCTTATTCTCACCTTGTCTCACATATGCATCTTTGTGTCTGTTTAAACTGTTAATAAAATCATTTTTGGGTGTTTTTTGCTTATTATTTGTATAAACCGACCTATACAATGTTTTTATTTCCCTACTGCTTTGGTTCATCAATGCAACCACTTAACAAGATTGGTGGATCGCACGTGTTTTTCATGCGTTTTGTCAGCGTCTCGATTTATCGACACTCAGAGTAATTCCCTGAGTCATCTAATCACTGGTGTGAATTTTACAGATTGTTTTATGAGCATCAGAAAACTTTTTTTCCTTAAAATTTGTGGTGGTGTCATCTGTGGAAGAATTTGCTTGCATCAGGTAACATCACAATGCTTTTTAACCTGTTTAATTGAGCCAGAATGTTAGCCTATGACATCATTTCCAGTCGATGTCACGACATTATGTGTTCCTTGTATAGACTTGTCTTTGTACTGTCACTTTCGTTTCAGATTTCTTCTCTGGTGTTCTGATTAAATTTGTCTTTAACTCTGTATTGGATGTACAGTAATGATGCATTGATACCTGTAGGTCGAACTTGTTACTGTGTTCTTACCACTAGCTCCGTTTCGGTGCTTGCTGAATTGAAAGCACACTTCACAACCACTGTGCTGTCGCATGTTATCGCTTTTCTGTTCAGTAACAAAAGCATATTTCACGAAACCTTTTTTGTAGGTATGAGTTTTAAGTGGCCGTGTAATCTTCATTCATGTGTCTCTCCCGACTGGCTCCCAAACGATGTTGTTGTTGAGTTCTGGAACAGTTCCCAAGATCCGCTCCGTGTCCACTGCGAATCCTCACTTTCCTTTTCAGAATTTACTCTTTTTGCGTCGCAGTTGGCGGAACTTCTCTGTCCTTTATCACCATCTCTTGTTGGAATTTTATGGCGCCCGTGTTTGTACATGCACGTAGCGGTTCATGGCGTTTTGCTTTCCGCCTGTGCATTCTTGCCATTTTCTGATCGCAATTCCTTTCCCGAGCTACAGCGGCTATTTCGTGCTGTTATCTCATTGACTTCAGAATGTGAAAACGAAATAAGGGATTTCGGTTTTGAATGCATTCAAGATAAACCCTTTAAGGTGTACATTCGAAAGGATAGTCTACCAAAACTGCCTTCAAGTGACCTGGCCTATTGCGTTGCAACATCGGGCTCCACTGGTGTGCCAAAGCTAGCCCTTGCTTCTCACTCGTGTGTCTCTGCGAATGTTATTGACCTGTGCACTCGCTTACCAAAATTGGAGGCCCACTCAGGCATCTTCATCACTTCACCGCTGACCTTTGATGCTTGTACAGTCCAAATTTACCTTGGCCTGGCTAGTCACCGGCGCGTTGTCCTGCCGTCTCAATCTGTCCTTTTTAGTATGGACGGAAAACTTCTTGCACAACTAATCACATCCACCGGTGTTGACACTTGGCAGTGTACTCCAAGTATTTTTGGTCGCTTGCCACCGGATGGTCTCGCCAATGTTAAAAAGTTGTGGGTCTTTCTCGGTGGTGAGCCGTGTTCCGTAGAACGGTTGCCGATGGATATGGACAATTTGAAATTCTTTTTCATGTATGGATTGACTGAGGTTTCTGCCTGGAGCTCCATTATCGAAGCTAAGGCTATTTTATCGGAGGAATCCCCAGTCCCCGGAGCGACTCCACTCGGTTCTCCAATGGCGCACTCTCAAGTTGTTCTCAAGGATGTTGATCAAAGCACTGGTTTTGGGCAAGTCTACATTTCGCGAACGCTGGGAGGTTATTCAACTGTCATAGAGCCGTTTACAAATGCTAAACTTTTGAGTGCAATGTCGCTCATGTCACAGGCAAATCTTTTGCCCACTGGCGATTATGCAATCGCAAAACCGAATAGTTCATCTCCTTTATGGTTTCTTGGACGACAGGATCGGATGGTTAAGGTTCATGGAAAAAAGTGCTACCTAGAAGGCCTTGAGAATGAAATACTGCGACTGCTCACCAGTCATCTCAAAAAGGCTTGTCTTCGGGTGGTCAACTGTCGTTGCGAACCTGATCCGCTCAGGGCGTACATCCAGGTGGACGGAGTTTTTACCCCGGAAAATTGTGTGGACATGAAACAGTGGCTGCTGCAGCGGGTTACTTTCCCAATATCACCTCACAATGTGATATTGTCAGTTGCATCTCTTAATCTAAATGCCAACGGGAAGGTTGTGGGTAAATCCGTCAGATCGACTTGTCTTTCGTCGATTTCCCCCACCACAAAAGACATGGAACTAACATTTCAGCAATGTGGAGGATCTTCAATTAAAGCAATGTACCTTATTGAGAGCCTTATATCTGATTGGCCTGCTTTAAAAAATAAAAAGGCACTCCTTCTAACCACACTTTTCAGTAGACCCTTTGGGGAGTTTATAAGGGTAGTAGAAAAAGAGTCTCTGTCAACTCACGAAGAAATTGCCTTGGATGTTTCTCAGGAACCCGAAGAAAAACGACTGAGGTTGTCTGCAAATTTCGAAGCCAAACTTGTTTGGAGTAAGGTTCTTGGGAAGTGCGTTGACGCGTCACCCATAGTCGACCCTACGACCTCAAGCGTCTTTGTCGGAAGTCATTCAGGTATTTTTAAGAGACTTCAACTTCAGAATGGTGAGACAATTTGGTCTCGATCTATCGGTTGTCGTATCGAGGCAACTGCTTGCCTCACTGAGGATCTGGTCGTTTTCGGAACCCTTGGGGGAAAGTTGTACGCTCTGACAATTAATGACGGCGCAATAGCGTGGGTGTTTGATGCGGGAGGAGCAATCAAGTCAGCCCCAACAAGAATTCCTAACTCAAACCGGCTGCTCATTGGTTCTCACGGGCGCTGTGTCCACGCCATTGATGGAGGCCGTGAGGTGTGGAAGGCCAGTCCCGACCACTCGCCCATTGTTGCTCCCATTGTCGTCGTGGATACGGAGTCCGCGCTCGTTGGAACACTAGGAGGGTATCTCCATCGTTTGGACGTCAATCAAGGTGAGACTTTCTCGCGATTGGCCCTCCCTGTTTATTAAGGAAAATGTTGCTTTCTAAGTTAAACCCAACTACTTGGTGAACCGCAAGAAGTGCGAACTCTTAGAATTGGCCAGCTTTTGCTGTAAACAGATGACATTCTTTAAGCACGCTCAAAAATAATGATGCTCATCGTTGATATTCACGCATAACTTTACATATTCTGTTTTTTATTAATGTTTCCTTTATCACCGAATCAGAAGTTAAGTTTACCTTTGTGGGATCTCTGCAAAATTGTTACGGTAGTTCCCTGACAAGTCAGTCTTGCACGTAAAACCAGGTTTTCTTTACTCAAATCTAAATGATTCATTAAACTTCTATTCAATGTATGTTTTAATCGTTCTTTATACATTTACGATAAATTGCTATCAGATCGCATGCACATCGGAAACAAATTTGACTAGAAGGTGCTCGGCATTATGAATTTCCTGGACGTCCCTAGCTTAGAAAATCCTCTTACAAATTTGACATTTTAGGCACTATTGAGTGGACTACAAAGCATTTGGGGCCAATATTCGGTTCTCCTACCATTGTGGAATGCTCTTCCCGAGTGGTTGTTGCAACTGCTGATAGTACTGTTCATTGTCTGTCACTACTGAATGGCGGGCCAGTCTGGACCGTAAACCCCGCGCCCGAGGCGGGACTTTTTTCGGACCCACTACTTTTACCAGCCCCACTCAACCTCCTGCTTTTGGCCAGCCAATCGGGCCACTTGCACGCTCTCTCACCAATCGATGGAAGCATTGAATGGACTGTCGATTTCGGGAAATCAGAACGAGCTAACAACTCACGAACAGCCTTCCTTATCACTCCTTGTATAGTCAATCGAAACCCCTTGTTAATTATCGTCACTCGCACTGACGGGACCCTATTTATGTGTAACATCGGTGAGGATGCTGTGAGAAATTCAAGCGTAATTTATCAACTTCCCAAAGAGACTTTTTCGGTCCCCTGTGCCGTTCACCTCAAAAAAAATGTACTTTCGATTCTACTCGGTTGTAGAGATGACACTGTGAATTACTTAGAGCTTAACTTTGATGATAATAAAAACTAACCTGTTCCTAAGTGGTTTACTACTTCTATGTGGACTCACAAACAATTTACAAACTCTTTTTTATAGTTTAATTTAAATGTAACTAGACATAGTATCACCTTCTTTATCTGGTTCGTCAGAAGCCTACTGTGTCGTGACTACGCGACCCCCTTGTGATTCAGGAGGAAGTCGTCTGCATGCAGCTACCCAGTTAATCAATTACTCAGTTTACCTGATTTATCATTTTCTAATGGTTTGCTTTTGCGTTGGCTACTACCCTCAACCTTTTAGCATGAAGACATTATTTCTTGTGCAAATATACTTAATAGATACACGACGGGTTACATTGGTATTTCAAACGTCTCCCATAAATTTTGCTTGGAGTTACTAGTGCCAAAATTAAAAAGACTTGAGGTTTACACTACGATGAATTAAAATCGACTGGTCACATTTGCACTTGTCGTCAAATTTCTTTGTCTTTCATGTCTGTACACGTTTGCTGACACCTTGCAAAGGGTAAGCTGCACAAGCAACTCCTATCCAATGGTTGGACGCTACGGAATGATTGATGGAGTTCACGTGCTGAGATGCTCAGAGGCGGCTTGTTCGAGACAGAACTCGGAATCTAAAATCTCTTTCAGCAAGAGGGTCTTCGTAGACTTGACACATTACCAACTAGTGTTCTGGTGACTTGTTTACAACTTTCTCTTCAATTTCACGTGGAAGGGTGCTCACGCAGTGGACCAACACCAGAACAACGCTATTCTCACACCTCTACGAGTTTGTATACCAAAAGTAAGTGGCTGAGGGCACAGTGCTACTACTTTGGTACTGCCCTGAGACAGTGGGTGTACCACATGATGGTAGAAAGCAGGGCGAGCGCACCTCCCTGATGCAAAGCTCCCAACCACACAGGCACGTATTCGAGAAGAGCGATGACACCGATCGCTGACTGTCCAACAGTTGCTGCCAGCATCAGATGTGCTGCGTTGCGAAGCTGCTGACCTGTAACAGCCCGACCTCCTGGTACTCTCAAAGTCATTGCCCAAGTTGCAGTCACAGCTAAGACAGTCAAATAAGCAAGATTTCTATGCATGAATTGGACGGCGGTGGGATTGTCGACGAGATTGCGCAAAGTAGATCCATATCGAGGAACAATGAAATCCTCTGGGACCCATCGATCAGCCATTTTGGGCCAAGAATTGTACGTCAAACCAGCATCGAGGCCTGCCACAAAGGCCCCTAGGAAAAAAATATGTCTTGGTGGCCGTTGCGTCAACGCTGTACGAAATGTATCCAAGTCGACCTAACGCTTTTCAGATTTCTAATAATATGATTTCGGCTCCACGGCTACGATGTTCTGAGGAAGTCTGGCCATCGCACGAAAACCTAATGAATCTAGGTTTATGATTTGCGTTTGGGTTTGTATCAAGTTTTCAATATCGGTGGAGCGGAACAGGAGCAAAGAGTGCGTATCGCGTGCGAGAATTTCGTTCTACACTCGATTACACAACATCTTAGCAACACTATAAGTAAGGAAAATCTATAAGGTTTCTTTTATTCCACTGGAAATCATGCCGGAATTTCTAACCAAGGAAATTGAATCATCGACATCGTACTAAACGCGGTTTAAGCGCTTTATAACAGACTGCAAGATGCACCCGGTACAAGTGGTTATGACTACATCTAGGGTAAGATGAATAAATTAGACATGTGCATAAACACAGTGACAGCACAACACTGAATTTGCAGTGACGATATTCGATTAACTATCGTGCTTACAGCTAAACGAGGATGCACACGACATCTTCCATACTGAGTAACAACAGATCCAACTACAACGTGGTGCAAAAAAATAATCAAAGAAAGCCACCAACGTTTATGACAAGCAATAAAACTTACCAAATATCAATGTTGTAAACATTAATGCTTTGGAGGAGTGGCTCCATATCTTCAGCTTAACGAGTTGTGGAAACCTTTGTATCTGTAATCAAATCACGGAATGGGTCAAAATTTGGTTCCATAAAGAACCAAAAATGTCTGAATTTTAGGCGTACCTGTGGATGCTTGGACAAGTGACTGAATCCAGACCACAAGAAAAGGGCATAAAGTATTGCTGCAGTTGATAAATGTGCCGCAAGACGATAATGGCTCACTCGAGGGACTCCAACAAATTCCTCTTTGGGATCCATACCAGCTGGTCGAGGTGGGGTTTTTAGTCCACTTCTCACCATGTACCAACCCAACAGTCCCTTAATTATATTTCGATGGTTAAATATGGCGGACGAGAAATCAATAGCATACCTGAAATCCAATTAAGGCACCGTAGGCAACAACCCTGACCTTCATTGACTTATTAAAGCAGCCCCTGTACCAAAATAAGGCAGCTGGTATTGCATAAGCGACCCCAATCAAGCGCCCCCATTGCCTATGTCCCCATTCCATGTACCATATGAACTTGAATCGAGAAAGAGTCATATCACCATGTTCTCTCACAACACTATGGCAAAGTAAGAATGCAAACAGTTTACTAGCTGTATTCAGGAAACTGCTTGTATTTTTCAAATTCTCTTTTCCAGGCATCTTCTGTACGCGGAGGAACCTCTTTAAATGGGTGCCAATCAACCATTGACAAACCCGATTCAGTTAATCTAAACGGGCATAAAAATACAGAGTAGTCTACCGAGTGACTCCACCGAGCACTATTGCTCCAAATGTCATGCCTGCCATTCCCATAAGCCAATAACCAACAGACTTTCTAGCTCTGCCGGAGATGCCCTTGGCTATAGGATCAGCATAAATGGCCATTCGACGTTTAGAAAGACGCCAAAATGGCTGGTAGCAAGACCTAAGCGTTGAAAGAATGCTTGTAGTCCTCAAAGCTCTCGACGCATGACACAAAAAGAGGGGAGACATGGTGTAAGGAAACCACAGACAGCAAATTCTAGGCTTAAATGTCTCCGCAAGGTCACAAGCACTAACACTTAAAACAAACACAAATAAAATCTAAAAAATTACAAAGATATTCTGCGAAAAAAAGACATGTTGCCTGCAAACGTGATAAAATCCACAAAGGTATGTGGGATGCACCAATAATCTTTATCAAATAGGTCTGAAAAAAAAAGTATTGTGCTTATTTTCTTTTTTTACTGGTCACATTTTGCTTGTGATTTTGAAAATGCAGATATGCTTTTGCTTAAATTGTACATACTTACCTTCGTTTTCGGACTATTAGCTAACACTTTCGAAACCTTCCAGAAAAATTACGTGTCTTCCAACTACAGATCACTACTCCTAGTTTTGTATTAATATCTATTATTTCTCAGATGGCTCAGATTTTTTAGGACCCTTTTTTAAATAAGAGCATATTAAGGCATTATAAGTTGTATTTCAGACCGTGGTTTTGCAAATAAAATTCAAGTTCATTCAGGATTTAACTGTATATCATGCTGCAATTTTTATTCAAAAGTCATTTTTGGACCTTCATTGGAGTCACAAATATTGACCTGGTGTAATTTAATGTCTGAAGGTACTTGCATTTTTGATAAAAATTTATGACGGAAAACGTTTATTTACTTGATTTACTGAATTAAAATTTTTAGTTTGTCGATAATTTGATTTAGTGCTGGAGCAAGCTGAAATTTAAATATCAGTAAATGTTTTATCAGTCACTCAGCTAACACATTTAACTATGCAGCATTTTCGCTTTATATCGAGCTAAATGATACGAAATGGTAATAATGCACCAATTTCTTCGACTTCAAATATCAAGTGTCTTTGTTGATTATTTTTTTTTATCCAAAAAAGGCTGAACGCAAAGTTTGTAAGAAAGATTTTGCCGTTAATTGGTAGAGGTGCAGCGTGTGGCGTCGGATTGGGGCGCGGACATGTTGGACCACCTGGCCTCAGCCAATCCTGTGTTCCTCTGCGTTCCAATGGCATCCGAGGAAGATAAGCAGCCAACCAGAGAAGGACACGACTGAGGTGCAGTATATAATGAGCGGCGTGGCCAGA